GGAATTATATGACCAGAAGGCGTCAATTAACGCCTTGCTTGCTGATGGACATAAATTTGCTCATCCTTTAAGGCACTTGGGTAAAACTGAAAGAGATTTGCCTGTCTTGGCAATAGACTCTTTTCAACATATGTTCTTGTTTCCTGATATGGCAGAGCTAGAAGTCCCAGGCAAGCTTAGAGAGGTAGGCGTCATGTGTGCTTTAATTTGAATTACGGCCCTCTGCTTTCCCCTTTACAATACGATAGTGGACTTTAGTAAATTTTTTTCTTTTCTTTTGTTTCAGTTTGATAACTGTGATTTTCAGGCTTTCACTTCCTTGTTTTTATGATCCAATTTTAGTTTGTTTTGGACCTTCACTCAGGAAAGCTACACAAGAGGTTCCACGAAACACTTGATCAGAAGATGGCAGAATTGCAGAAACTTGCAATTGAGCAACCAGAAATATTTGCAGAAAATCCGTCAAGTGCACCTGCAGTTGCAACTCCAGAATCTACGCCTCCTCCTTCAGTATTCAAAGACTTGAGACCGTCAGAAACACGTTACTCTTTACTTTCAAAAACAGAGTTGTAATACAGGTAGACCTTATGCTTTTATTCATTTGTTAAATATTTGTCGTTGATGAAGGTGGGAGCAGTCAAACAGGCTGATAGTAAATTTTGCATTTGAGAGTCCTTTTTTATTAGTTGTTTCCTTGTTGAAAAGCAGTGGCAAGTTGAATTAATTGGTTTTGGCGTGCTACACTGCATATATTCTCCGATAGTTGTTATTTTTACTTTAATGTCGTTTACAGTATTTCGTAGGCCGTTGGTTTCAAATAATGCATTTCGTTTTTCTAGAAGCTTTTTACTAGTGAGAACGAGAAAGGAGAGGTGTAGATAGCTAGGTATCAGTTCTGTTTCATGAGGTACATTCCCTATTGGAAGGGGAATTTTTTTCACTCAAATTTCCACTTTTCGATCTTGCGTTGTTCCCTCATTATTGTTTTCTAAAATTACTAAGTAGTGATTAGCTGTTAGCAGGGTTGTTATGTTGTTAATTTTCGTCATCTGTTTGTAATTATGAAACCTCTTCGGTGCAGAGGGGATGAGTAATTTGTATGGTGCTACTCTGTCTTTGTATCAAAAGCAGTTAGCAGGAGAACTAACGTAGCTGGTTTAGCGGAAAGCAGGCAAATTGTTTATGATCATAAAAGTTTTCCAAATAAAAGTAAAAATTTTAGGTTGGAATAGGGGGTCAGGATCTGTGTTGTAGGAAGATTTCCGTCCATTGTTTTTACTACTTATGGCAGGTTCATTGTTATTATTAGATTCAATGTTGCTGTTTGTGTTCTCTCGCTACATACTTACTGAGTTTGGCGGTGGTCTTCTGTGCTTGTAAAGGCTTAGTTATGGTACACTCGTGTTGTTGGAGAGCGCTATTCCGAATTGTCTTAAGTTGCAGAGATTGTTGATTAACTATTTTTGCTGTTCACCAATCTGCCTTCAATTACAGAAAGACGGTAGAAAAACAAAAGCACTGGTGACGCTCAAATTGTTTAATACCTACAATATGTAAAAATGTGTATTAACTGTGATAAAATTGTTTCTCTGCCTTCCGATATAAGTCGGGAAAATTGTTTGAGTTACAACTTTGATTTTAATATAGACTGAGCGTGTGTGCTAGTGGGACTCATCAAACTACGAATAAGAGTGGTTTAGTGTTCTGGAGTGGGGGTTTGCGGCAATCAGGGTACAGTAATACGAATATATGAAAACCAGAAGTTCACATTAACCGGTCTCAAACTTCGCAAAGGCGGACTTCCAATTTTTTTATGGTTATGGGACCTTTTGATTGTTGCGGGGAGGGCTGTCATCAGATAAAAGCAGTGTTGGCACTCTGCTGGTTAGAACTGGTCCGTTAAGTAACTGTGTCAAATAAGAAAAATGGTCTTCAAAAAAAAAAATTAACTAGTTGTGGTACTTTGATATAAATGCCTTGTTGGTCGTATCTTTGCAAAACAGTTTTCCTGCAATGGTAAGGGCACATTCGTTTTGGATCATTTTTCTCTTAGCTGTTTTTGACCGAGCCGATGGGCTTGAGGTTGGTTTCAGCAGAAATTTGTTGTTTTAGTTCATTTCCCCGTATTCAGCTCTCAAAATCATTCATATTTTAACCAGCTTTTAAAGCTAGTTTTAGAAAAGACATGGAAATTCCAAATCAGAATTTTAGATTCATCAATTTCGGTCTAAGCGTCAGTGCTATATCCCTCAACAGTATTTTTATTGTCACCCAGCACTTTACTATGTCAACATGTTGTGCAGCTATGATCCAAGTTCATACCAACAGAACTGCGAGCATGAAACCCTGCAAAGAGCCTGCTTGGCGGCCTGTCAGCCATCGTGCGAAAATCAGTGCCCCATTTCCATGAAGAGAAATCTCTGTCAACGTGTTTGTAGTTCTGCGTGCATAAGCTCTTGCCAGAATACTCAATTGGTCCCAAAAGCAACTACTGCAAGTCTGAATTGTCCGTTCCGCTGCTTGCCACAGTGTGACTTGAACTGCCTGCAAAAAAGTGATGGTCAAGCGGTCCCAGCAGCAGTAGGCACAAAAATCTCATGCTCTCCGTCCTGTCAACCACGGTGCGAACCAGAGTGTACTCAATGTATTCCGGCGTGTCAACCGTTTTGCACTCAAGAATGTCTTAATCTGCACTGTATGGCAGAGTGTCAACCTTTATGTACACCACAATGTATTTTAGCTCATTGTCCGCAGTTATGTCAACCTCTGTGCTCTTCCCAGTGCATAGCTGCTCAGTGTGTCCCGGAATGTCAACCACTGTGTGCACCCGAGTGTATTGCTAATTATTGTCCCGAGAGTTGTAGACCTACCTGCAAAGCTGACTGCATCATGCAGCAATACGATGCGTTTGGGAAGAAAGACAAAAAATTGAACAATTCGAGCGAGTGTTTTGATAGCCTCAAAAAAGAGTGGGACAACAATGGGTTATCGAAAGATTTTGAAAATTGTTGGGAAAAATGTACTACATCAAACAACTCACAAGTCGTCAGTGACGATTTCGGGACGTGTTCAGAAGTTTGCGACCACAAATACTTCAAACAGATGCAAGCCGAAAAGACGTATCAAATTTCCGTACCAGAAGAATTGGAATCGATCAACTCTTCTAGCAACGCAGCATCCCTCGGCTTTGAACAGGAGATTAATGAGCAGGGTTCATACATTTACGCACCATGTTTTTCAAAATGTAAATCAGATTGTGAGGGCTACTGTCTCAACAGCACAGCAGAAAATATAAAAAATGGCAACATTTTTTGCACCGGTATATGCGAAGATCAGTGCCAATTCTATTGTGATGGAAATCCGAGATATTTTTCAGAAAATCTCTGCATTGAAAATTGTATGCCTCAGTGTGGTCCTCAATGTATTTTCAAAATGGAACCTGAAATATTTCAATATCAATGTATTCCTTCAGATTTCCTTCATTGCACACCAAACTGTAACGATAGCCTTAATATTTCATTGTGTGATTGTAGTTTCCGCTGCATGCCGGACTGTAGGCCTGAATGCATTTATGGTTCCACTGACCACCAGAACAGCCAAGAAGCTCCTAAAAGTAACAAAATGGCGACTATTTTGTTGAGATACGATCAAGATAGCTCATATTTGTCCTCAAACGTTTCTCCGGCATTTGAACTGCAAGAACAAGGCACTGGTAATTGCAGTGGACTTTTGATTCCCAACTGTTCCAACAGTTGCATAGATAGGTTTTCAGATTGTTTTGGTCCCTGTCTGTATGAGTGTATCGGTTCTGAAACTATGAATTCTCAGTGGAATTCCTGTCAGCGACCCTGTCTCGTTCATTGTAGTTCCACTTGTGGTGATCAAATAAAAAACGAACAGTGGAACTGGAACTGCTTACCCTTCTGTGCAGAGCAAACCGCTGATACGCCTTCAGTCAAAATTTGTTCCTTGAAGTTAGAGAGTCCTGAAAATGCAAACCGAAACTATTATCAATCGTTGTTACCTCCCTCCAGGTCGTCCTGTGTATCACCGTATTTGAGAAGTGACGTTAGCTGTGTCACTCAACGTCAGTTTCAAAACCCAATAAATGTTGGCACTGACTTGAACTTAGTTTCGCGAAAAAGCTCGACAAAGGAGCCACATATGTTAAATCCTTGTGGAATTAATGCAGACAGTGCTGCATGGATCCCTTCAAATGACAGGCATTCGGAACAGAGGAAATTTAAAACATTTAGCAGTTGTAACACGACAAGAGTGTTTCCAGGACAGTGTTGCAATTGTCAAACGAGTAGCTCTGTAAGCTCAGTCACCTGTGGGAAGTCTTCAGGAACTTGTGAGTCAGAAGCACTTCCTACTCCTCTGTTTAACGATAGCTGCATAAATTTAGGTCCAGAGACGCTACAGCAAATTGGTAAAGCGGTGCTTTCAGAATGTTTGCCTGTCTGTATGCCCATGTGCCTTCAACTATGCAACCAGTGGTTTGAAAACAATTCAAAACCGCCTAGCACTTGTAATTCCAATTCAGATTCTTTTTCATATCCGTCTTCTTCTAATTCTCGGGCAAGTTTTACACCTTTTGACTGTCCATACGTTAATTGCCTTCCAAAGTGTACATCACAATGTGTTCAGCGGGAACTACAGGCCTGCCCTCTTCCATGTCGTCCTAACTGTTATTCAAAATGCATCAGGAGATATATTTTGGAAGAGCTAAAGAAAGAGAGGCAGTGTGCGGGAGCAGGTAAGTTGGAAGGCGAAAATCTTTCAGATTACAATGCAAAAGATGGTCTAGATCACAGCAGAGATTACGAAAGCGTGCCATATTATGACGATTATTCATTAGGTGATCAGGAATTTGATTTTGAAAACTATGGTTCTGCTGAAGCAGCAAGTACCGGGAACCAAGAAGCAAGTGAAAGTGGGACCCATTTGTCAGAATCCGCAAACACAACTCAAAAATCTGTGCCTTCACAAATTACTGAGGCGGACCCTGGTGTCACGATCACGACTCCAGAGATGATTTTGGTAGAAATAAGCACCGCAGCAGGAAAAATAGCTACCAGCGACAGCGACAGTGTAAGATTTATTATGTCGCAGAAATATGGCTTAAATTAGAGCATTTCTATAAGTCGTTTAAATCTGATCATAATCTAATTATTTAATCTTTAATTGAAACTTTTGAGTGAAATTCACTTCTATGGATTTAAGGTCCGGAGCGGAATCCTGCGGGATGGATTTCGGGGAAGAATTGGTTTGTCAGCGAAGCCAATAAGCTGCATATACAAGTGTCGCCGGTCTTGTACAAAGCGGTGCGTTGAGGATGATACACCATTAAAACGCTGTCAAACGCCCTGCAGGCGGGAGTGTTTACGCAGTTGTCGTAAAAATAAGATCACTTACCTTTGATCTATCGTCTTACTTTATATTATCGCTACTGGGATAATAATTATTAATAGTAACTTATTTATTATTTTCCGTTTAATGACAATCGATTGTTTTGCATTACAATAAAGTTTTTTTGTGTTTTTTTGTTTGATTTCGGAATAAACATCAATGTTATAAAGTTTAAGGTTCTTTTATTTTTGTTAAACATCTACTTTTAAGAAGTTTACTGCCTCTAGTTTGATAAAGATTCAGCTTTTACTGTCGGGAGAGTGGGGAATTGCTTCACAGCTGAGGACCTAGTTTGAAAGTGGAATTAGTAAATTGAGGTCAGCGAAATCAGTATATAGCTAACAGATAGCTAACAGTTTTGCAAGGCTATTGTAACGAAAATATTTTCATTATTTGAGCTGGTCAGTCTAAAATTTGTCGGTCTTGGTAATATTTTTTTTTGGTCTTATAATGCTTTAGAACAGGTTTTGTCTTGTTAAGCCTTCTCAGCCTTGCTTTACTCAAAAGTGGTTAAAACTAAATGATTCTGTTTTACCCAATGAGTTCAACTACGCGACAGGTAGTGGCAGCATAAATCAATGGGACTGTGTACTCTGTTTTGGTAATCAGTTCCGCCTTTGCCTTTTCCTGTGAAAAATTTTCATTGAAATGTTGACTTTTTATTTTGAATAACGTTATAAAAATAGCTTACAAGACATTTCTTTATAATGTATTCACGGTAACCGACAATCACTAAAATGTTTTTTGGATTAAGATTGGTAGGAAAAATTGTAAAGAAAGCTATGAAATGCAACTTTAAAAAGGAAAACAGGAAGAATGTTGTTGATGTTGATTAATACTGAAAAGAAAAAATTATCAACAGATGCGATAAGATTAGTTTTTGTGCATTAGTTTTTTTTACTTTGAAGAAAAGGCCATCAAATCATTTCTGTCTTAAATGTAATAATTGCAGTTAATTGAATAATAAGTTTTTGCAGTCATCAACCTTTTTAGCAGTCATTCTGTGAATACATCTGCTAAAGAACTGATAAGTAATAGGTATGTTTAATCTCATTGAGGATTTTAACACATTAACAGTGTGATCAGAGTAATGTATGAAGAGCTAAGAAAATATTGCCGCCTTGTCAGCGTTGCTACAAAGAAGATAAAATTTTTTCTTTTGTCCTCTTCCCTTTCCTGTTTATGTAAAGCAGAGGAATTGTTTGAAGGTCCTAAGGTTTTCCGACTCTTTTTTTTATGTTTGGAACAATTAGAGATGGCTAAAACATTTGCACCACTGTCTCGTCCACTTTCTTGTTCTCGGTAATTTAGGTGGGACAACAATAACAGCAACAATGTAACTTAAATAATCCCATTGGTGAAAGTGACTCAGACTGTCCCGGTATTTTCAAAGCTCATCAACAGCCTTGGTTGCAAAAAAAAATTTCGTTTACTTAAAGTGGTCATTAGCAATCGGTAATCAGGCAAATACAGATCTTTACAATTTATTTAAAGGGAAGCAGTGTAGAGAACAATTTAGTCATGTACTTGCTTTCCAGTTTCGTTGTTGTTCTTCTCTCGACAGCTACTGGCTCATCGGTGAGCATTTTCTTAACTTTCGAAAAATTTTTTACTTAGGACAATTCAGACCCTTCATTTTTTACTTAAATTTACTGTCTTTTTTTGAATGTTAAGGTTTTTCAAAATAAAGCTTCAATTTGAAACAATATCACATAAATTCTTACTAAAATCGCTATTTTCCGTGTATTAAAACCTTGTTTTTTTGTGACTCTTGTTCGCGAAAGCTTAATTTTGACTGCGTTTTAAAAAAATAAGATGGGAAATTGGTTTAGAAGCTAATTTCAAAGTTACTGCCAAAAAAACAACTAGGTAGAAATAAAACAATCGTTTACTAACACTGTTTCCGTAGCTTTCTGTTAAATGAAGAAACTGTAGTTGTCTGATTGAGTGTATTAGTCACCTAATTTTCAAAAATATTGCCCTCTCTTATATTACGGATAAAACCTTTAGACTCATGCTATTTCAAAACGGTGCGCGTGCCCACCACCGCAGTGTTCCTGTGAGCCAACATTTGAAATCAGCATAATATCATGTCACTGCACACAACTTCAACCCTGCGGTTGTACGGCACTGGAACAGGTTAATCATTGTCAACCAGCTTGCCAGGAAGTTTGTCAAGCAACCTGTTTTATGAACTGCGCGATTTGTAGCACAGAATGCCTTATGACATGTTCCTCGCTTGCAGGAATTCCGTTAAATCACGGAATACCAGATTTGCATCCTGTACCGACGATACCGACCTACCAAAATTCCCTCATTCCAGTGGCCTCTCAAATTAATACGAGTCCACAGCAGTGCAACTGTCCTCCACCTGTTTGCGTATGCGTCCCCTTAATTGGTTCTTCTTATACCTCATGTAACTGTGAATACTCAAACCCCTGCTCATGCAGTGCGAAACAACAGTTTCATCAGTGTCAGCCACAATGCCAAGAAGTGTGTCAAAGTAACTGTTTTAACAACTGTACTCTTTGCGCCAGTATTTGTGTTGCAACATGCTCATCCTTATCTAGTGATAAAAACAGTGAACGACTGAGTCAGAATCTGGAGATTACGACGACAGCTGTACCGGTAATAAATCTGTTCTCGCCAGCAGTGCCACAAACTCCTCCAAATTCTAACCACTGCACATGCCCTTTGCTTAACTGTGTCTGCTTGCCGACATTAAGAAGCGGGCAACTACCGTGCAGCTGTGAATACTCGGTTCCTTGCATTTGCACGCCCGAGGAACAGCTACAGCAGTGCCAATTAAAGTGTCAAGAAGTATGTCAACGAAGCTGTAACAAGGACTGTGCCATATGTGGTTACGCATGTTTCACAACATGTTCTGCTTTGTCAAGTCAAACGATACCAAATTCTTCACTGACGACAGTTTCAACAAGAAGCTTACCAGTCTCACCAACGACAACCACTGATCCTACAACATCGATACAACCGAAACAAAGTTATTTCACAATTTTGCCAGTACCACGGAATGTGCAGAACCTTTCATCTACAACTGGAGTTCCACAAGTCTCTAAACAGAACCACTGTGTATGTACAGCCCCAAATTGTGTATGCGTACCTACAATAGGAGTTGCTTACCTGACCTGTAACTGTCACTACTCCAACCCATGTGGTTGTTCGACGGAAGAACAAATGCAACAGTGTCAACCAGTTTGCCAGGAAGTCTGCCGGCGTAGTTGCGCTGTAAACTGCGCTGTTTGTAATTACTCTTGTTCCTTAACTTGTTCTACGTTACCTGAAACTGAAGCCGTAAAAGTACCTCAAATACAGTTGCCCGTCGCTGCGCCGCTGAACTCGCTAGCTTCATCAGTCCCTTATATTCCTGCAGATTTAGATCGCTGCAGCTGTCCACCACCAAAATGCGTATGCGTTCCTAGTATTGCTTCCATGTACTTGTCTTGTAACTGCAAGTACTCAAATCCTTGTTCGTGCGGGCCAGAACAGCAGTTTTATCAATGTCAGCCAGCGTGTCAAGATGTCTGTCAAAATACCTGTACTATTAACTGCGCTGCGTGCGCTAATGTCTGCTTCACAAGCTGCACGTCTCTATCAGGAAGTCAAGTAATAAGGTTCAAAAGAAATCAGTTAAGTTATCCAGCTCCATACAAGTCTACGTGGAGAGACTTCCTTCACACTGACAGTGGACTGATCACTCTTTACTGAAGAAAAGCTCATCTTCTCCAGGTACAGTAAATTTCAAAATGTTTGTCGTTCTCGGTTGACTAAACGGTGGCTAATTACGGCTGCATTGACAGCAGTGTATTATAAGTTCAGGATTTAATTAAAATTTAAGCTTTCATTTTACACTTTGCATATTGTTCGTTGTATGAACATATTTGCAAACATTTGAACAGGCTTTTATCAAGTTACACATTAAAAGTCATTTACTTTTCCAGAGTTTTTTGTGTGGCACTTTAGAAGTGGTAAATAGAGCTAATTGAATGTCTGATTACGTTTTATCTCACAGTGTTTACTGGGACGGTCAGACAGGTCATCTCTTTTTCAGGTCCGAGTGATAGATAATTTATTTTTTCGCTCAGTCACGTGTTTAGAGCGTCTTCACTTTTAAAGGAAGGATTTTTTTATAACACCTTCTGCGGCTGATAAAGATTCATCTAAGCAATTCCGGAAATGAAATGCGGGTTTTTTATCTTTTATGATTACGTGCGTTTAAACTGCTGTATGAGTATTGGTTGGAGAAACCACTCGTTTTTTCTTTTGCTTCTTTTTTTTTTTTGTTTATTTTGATGTTAACATTGTTTTTTGATGACAATAAAGGAATTCTTGAAGCTCACCTCTCAAAATATATCGCGTTAATAGCTAGATATATTGTAACTGTTGCTTCTTGTGTACTTTTAAACTCTTTAATTTGGATGGGTTCAGTACTTCTTTCGAAACTATACATTTGTTGATTTTTCTTCGACTAAAAACCGCTAAGTCATTTATCCTTACAGTTAAAAAACAACCCTGGTGCACAAAATAATTGCAGAGATAAATTATAGTTTAATATCAGTTCAGCTTGGAGCATAAATAATAGCAAAATAGGCAAGTATAAAAAATATGAAAGCAAAAGGTGAAGAAAAAATATGGTTTAACAGTAATTCTAATAAGAATATTTAAAAATTACTGAGAAAGCACAAATTTCTTGTCGATTTAATTGTTATCTATATGTCTCACAGAGTTTGATGGATAAATAAAACCAAAAATTGCCAACGCTTTCTTCAGAGGTCTTTTTATCTTCAGGTGCTCTATATGATAGCAAGAAAAAAAAGCTGTAAGTCGTTATCTTGAGCAACTAATTGGTGACCTTCCGCCCTTTAGAAATAATATGCTAGAAGTTATAATATTGTCGATTAATGAGGCAACGGCGTTTAGATAAAAATACTAAGGATGAAGGGTAAACAAAGTGACCTCTCTGTTTTACCATTTAGTCAGTGAAGCAGTCATTAAATTTCTACTTAATTTTTAAAAGTTAAGTTTTTTTTCTAATTTAGGTAGCTTATCTTCAAAGTAGAAGCTACAGGCAAGTGAATATAAGTGAATGCTTCAATATGTCAAGCGTCTGTTTACTCAAAAAAAATTTTTTTTTTTGCAGTAACGGCGCGCTATTTATCAGAACACTGATAAAGAAAAATTGTTTTTGCTGAATGCAAAAATGATCCGTCATATAGGTTGCTTTAACCACTTTTTTAGAACGACCAAGACTTGCTTAAAGATAAATGAAGTAGTGGGCGATATGTGTGAGCAATTTAGCAACATTTTTTCAGCTAATATTTTTACTTTGATTGACTGTTAAGGTCATGGGAATGCATGCTTGTTCAGTTACTGAACTAAACACTGTTTTTATATTACCAATCTATAGTTCAATTCCTGGCCTTTCGTTACAAATCTTTATGATTTGTCGTTATTCATCTAAAAATTTTCAGTTTGCTGTTTTATAGAATGATAATTACTGATGAGACCACACCGCTCCTCAACAGAACGCTTCCTGACGCAGTGACACTTTTCAGTAACAATAGTCAAGAAACAACTCGATCTTACAGCGAAACAAACAAGTCTCTTACGTGTTGGCAAATTAGGCGTGGAAAAAAAGGATTAGCTCAGGTTAAAAAACAAATGTTTTTTTTTGAACCACTTGAAGAATGTACAAACAATTTTTGAATTTTAAAGCACTTTCTTATCAATGGAACTTTTTTGCAACAAAAAGAATAATCGTTTTAAATTAATTGCACATCTAAATATTACTACTTAAACCCGTTCTGTAACAACTACTGTTTAGTACTACAAGTATCAAAATCGCTTACTCGGATTATACAGAGAAGATGATCTGTTACTGGAAGAAATTGCTAAAAAAGGCACAGTAGCTAAACCAAATGAAGAACTTTTGGACCAAAAACATAAAACCGACAGTAGGCTTGCCTCGGCTTCGTTTATCCTTAATATACTGCTTCTCTTTGCCAATGCAGCAGCGTCAGTTATATCTGGTTCGCTGTCAGTGATAAGGTACGAATGTTAAATTTTAAATTTTATTCTAAAGAGATACCAGAAAAATTCCTTTGTTCAGATTTCGTAGCTTTCAGTGCTTTTATTGATTCTGCAATGGACAGCACTAGTGGGCTATTAATTTATATGAGTATTTGGGCAATTAAAAATACAAATTCCTTCAACTATCCGCGCGGTCGCTCAAGGCTGGAACTAGTTGCAGTTTTAGCATGCTCAATTATCATGGGTGTTGCTAATATAATGATGATCATCCAGTCGGTCGAATCTATTGTTAACAAGACGGTTGGTAAATGTTAGCATCTTTTAGCGACGCTGAACGATGTAACGATATCGTGACTAGTGTCGGCACTGAGTTCTGCCAGTA